CTCTGTCTGAACAGGGAGAAGATTAAGATGGTGGAAGCCCCTGCATAATTGAATACAGCATCACCACCCCCGGAGGTGGCACATATCTGCCTTGGCAATTAACCCTTGCTGCCGTGGCACAAACAAATGCCAATAAGAGTTTCATTATTATTAATATTATTATTATAATTATATATTTTTTATTTAGAGGGTCCAGTTTAAAAGACAATAAAAGTTTTATTCTGCACGAAAGGACCAAAAAATATTTTTATGATGCAATCACATTTTTGAAGATAAAATGGAGGGAGAGTTATTTTTGTCCATGCTCTATTTAAAGGATATTTCTGCGTGTTTTGGATTTCTTTTCCCCAGTGCTCTGAATTTTGCAAAATGATTATCATTCAGGTTTATTCAGATGCAGAGGACCATGGCACTGATAATGGACAACACATCTCCTCTCCGGCACATATTAAACTGGTTGGTTGCTATTGGTTACAGCATAGTAATGAGTGAATGAGTAATTTGTGTTTAATATCTGTATAATTATATTATTTGGGCTTTGTCAGGGAGGTGTTAGTGATGCAGATTCTTTTTTTTTTTTTTAGGGATATGGTACAGATGCAGATTTTGGGTTTTGTCAGGTATATGGTACTGATGCAGATTTTGGGTTTTGTCAGAAACATGGTGCGGATGCAGATTTTGGGTTTCGTCAGGGAGATGGTACTGATGCAGACTTTGGGTTACTTGCAGCTATTGTTTTTGGCCCTGTGTTAAATAATTCAGTTTCAGCAAGCTAGGGATGACATCACCCCCGAGGCCGCTCCCCCCCCTCTCCGATCTGCTCTATTCGTGGGAAACCTAGAGATGCAGTGTGCAAATCCAAGGAGCGAGCAGCTTCAGCCATAGGCAGTTTAAGGAATATTCTGTTGTCATGGCAACACCATCACATGGTCCCTCTCTACTGTACAGCTCCCTGTTTGGATTTAATCATTCATTAAATATGGTGTTCCTGCAAAGAATTCTCACGGTGGGATCCCAAGGCATCCCCCTTTTATTATTAACCCTTCGCGTGCCGCGCTAATGCAGGTTGCGCATTCTTGCCGGCGTGTTATACGTGGATCACTGAGCCACAGTGTCCCAAATTCTTCTCGGCTGCGTTGCTGACCCAATTTTCTTTTTTCTCTTTTAAATGTTGCGATGCATTTGCAGGAATAGCTGGGAATTTTCCATATATAAAGTGACCGCCAGCTTTATAACGATATGACGCCACTCTCAGGGATGGCGTTTTATCGGCGTCCCTTTTTACTAACACTATAGGAGAAAATAATTTGCAATGTTTTAAATACATAGGTGGTTGAGGGATTAGAGGGAGATTAAAATAGATTGGGAAATAGTTTGAAGGCAGCAAATTTTGAGGGCCCGGTCATACTTTTGTGTGCTCATTTTTAACAAGCTGGAAACGCACTATTTTTGGCTAAACATTTGTGCATGGCCGTGCACGTTCTTCACTTACTGGGTATGTGCGTGGGGATGCGGTTTAGAATCAATGGCAATGCATGTTTGTGTTTACATTTGTGGCGAACGGCGACGATAGAAAATTCCCCCCACCCAGAGACTGCACGTTTCTTTTCGGGAATGGCGCTGCCATTTGCTGGAGATGCCTGGAGGGAAAGGTCACGGTTTGCAAGGACGGGCAATTTCGTGTGAATTTTTATTCAATGATTTCTTGTCTAACCGAGTATGACAAAAGCAGCACGAAAAGCGGAAACCATTCAGAAACTCTCCTCCAGCCCTTTTCAGCCACTTCCTGTCGACATGCACTTGCCCCAGTGGCATCAGTTGCACATCAATGATCTGGATCAACTGCCTGATAGTGGCTACAATGGACTCATGTGAAAGTCAAGCGTTGGCCTTTACCGTGCTAAAGCTTCTATGAGATTTTATTGGCTGTGTTATGATCTACTCAAACCAAAGAAAACCCATAGACAGGACAAGTCTCTATGCCTCATATCTTTGAAAAGTTCCTCCTAAATTCTGCGGTTCGTTAACAACCTACACATTCACGTACAGAAGAAAATAAACAGATGTAAAGCGTCCGTTTGATCTGCCATGGTTTCGCGAAGCCCTGAGCCTGGATCCACACACTTTACATAATCGCCGGCATTACTGACAGGAAGTGGTTGCCAGACTTTTCATTTCATGGTTTGTGTGGCTTTCTGATGACGTTAATCATTTTCTGCAAAACTTTTTTTTTTGCAGAAGAAAGATAAATTCTCTTGACTGGCAACCAATGACCTTCCCCAAACCGGGGACAGGAAAATGAGAAGGATCCGTCTGCTCTAAAAGGCCGTTTCAGTTATCGCTGCACGTTGCACCACCCAACGGTCTCTTTTATCTCTCGTGGTCTGCGGCATGGAGATTGCTGTGTGTTTCCGGCCATGGCTGTTGTAAGAGTGTTCTAGCCTGAGCCCGAGGTGGCTACGAACTGAGCCAGACATGAGTAGGTATGGGTAGGCCAGAAGATATGAGTAGGTATGGGTAGGCCAGAAGGTATGAGTAGGTATGAATAGGCCAGAAGGTACGAGTAGGTATGGGTAGGCCAGAAGGTATGGTGAAAGAGCCCTGAAAGAGCCCTACAAGATCTATCTATCGATCTATCTATCTATCTATCTATCTATCTATCTATCTATCTATCTATCTATCTATCTATCGATCTATCTGTCTGTCTAAATAGACCAGGGGGTTATCTCAGCCCACCTATAACTGAAAATCACTTTTGAGTGCACTGACCCCTTAAAGTGACATACCTGCATCTTTGCATTGTGACAACGTACAGTAAATACACGTTTATCAAAATGCTCCTTATATGCATTTCAGACTCAAAATGAATTTAATACATTAGATCGGCAGCATTTTCTAACAATGGCAGCCTGCAAGTTTCCCTCTACGCGGGTTAACTTCGCTTAAAACAGTACGTCGGAACTGTCAGTAGATCCAGAGTTATAGACAAATGAAAATATGCAAATCTTTTCCTTTAAGAGCTTGGCTCTGCCCCTGCTCAGCTTCTGAGCCTCGCTATTGGTTAGTGAGGCTGTCCATCATGTTAAGAGACCGGTAGGGAGGGTCAGCCGAGCTTGACTTTGGGAAGAGTTAGGACTAAAACTTTAGCTGTGTTACTCTCTGGTCCATGGGGGTTTTTCCACTGATAGCAACCTCTGCTTTTGTATTTTTTTCATAATACGTTAGATTTTTCCATGTCAAAGTATGTGACGGGGTTCATTTAAAACACCAAGAACAAAAATTGAATATACAGTACTGCAGCTGTTTAATTTTTGAACCTAGATAAAAACGAGCCCCACTGCATAGGTTAAGAAAAATTTTACCTGGAGTTCCTTAACTACAGAGAAAGAAAATACGCTCCTAAAGGTGAACGCACGGCAACACTCAACTACCAGGGATATGTAAAGTAAAACAGCATGTGCACCGTCGGTGCACATCACCTGACATTATAGACACATCCTGCTGATATTTATGACTGTAGTAAACTTTCGCAAAGAGGTGACATTTTATTCTGGGCGTAAAAAGGTTTTCTGGATGAGGCAGAACTCGCCTTCGCATGTAATGAGGTTAACGTTTTTGACGCATGGCGTGGCAGATTATGCAAACTTTCGTCAGACGCTGCACTTTCCCACACACAACTGACTAACGTCTCGAAATTCAGTATCCCCCTTCTAAAGGCAGATGTTTACCACTTTGTATGTCAAAGAACACAAAAAGGAAGTCCTCGTACACGATCACCGCCGCTTACATGGTTGAGATGCAAAGAAAAGCGGAACAGATGGAACCTTAGTTGTTTCAAAATCTCTGAATACAGTTTAAAAAAATTTAATCATAAGGAGAACGAAAGGACATTTACATTCT